CAGTGCTCACCATAGCACATACCCTCCCCAATGTCTATCACCCAGCCACCCCACCCCTCCCACCCACCACCCCTCCAGCAACCTTCAGTTTGTTTCCTGAGATTAAGAATTCCTCATATCAGTGAGATCATATGATACATGTCTTTCTCTGATTGACTTATTTCGCTCATCATAATACCCTCCAGTTCCATCCACGTCGTTGCAAATGGCAAGATTTCGGTTTTTTGATGGCTGCATAATAGTCCATTATATATGTATATACTACATCTTCTTTATCCATTCATCTGTTGATGGACATCTTGGCTCTTTCCATAGTTTGGCTATTGTGGACATTGCTGCTATAAACATTGGGGTACACGTACCCCTTTGGATCACTACATTTGTATCTTTGGGGTAAATACCCAGTAGTGCAATTGCTGGGTCATAGGGTAGCTCTATTTTCAACTTTCTGAGGAACCTCCATACTGTTTTCCAGAGTAGCTGCACCAGCTTGCATTCCCACCAACAGTGTAGGAGGGTTCCCCTTTCTCTACAAATGCCTTTTATTTCTTTGTGTTGTCTGATTGCTGAGGCTAGGACTTCTAGTACTGTCTTGAACAGTAGTGGTGAGAGTGGGCATCCCTGTCGTGTCCTTACCTTAAGGGAAAAGCTCTCAGTTTTTCCCCACTGAGAATGATATTTACTGTGGGCTTTTCATATATGGCTTTTATGATACCAAGGTATGTTCCCTCTATCCCTACACTTTGGAGAGTTTTAATCAAGAAAGGATGCTGTATTTTATCAAATGCTTTTTCTACATCAATTGAGAGGATCATATGGTTCTTGTCTTTTATTAATGTGATGTCACATTGATTGATTTGTGAATGTTGCATCCCAGAAATAAATCTCAGTTGGTTGTTGTGAATAATCCTCTTAATGTACCATTGGATCCTATTCTGTAGTATTTTGGTGAGAATTTTTTCATCCATATTCATCAGAGATATTGGTCTGTAATTCTCCTTTTTGGTGGGGTCTTTGGTTTTGGGATCAAGGTGATGCTGGCCTCATAGAGTTTGGAAGTTTTCCTTCCATTTCTATTTTTTGTAACAGCTCCAGAAGAATAGGTATTAATTCTTTTTTTTTCTTTTTTCAAATGCATAGGGCATTAATTCTTTAAATATTTGGTAGAATTCCCCTGGGAACCCATCCGGCCCTGGACTCTTGTTTGTTGGGAGATTTTTTATTACTGGTTTGATTTCCTTGCTGGTTATCAGTTGGTCTGTTTAGGTTTTCTATTTTTTTCTGTTTCAGTTTTGGTAGTTTATACATTTCCAGGAATGCATCCTTTTCTTCCAGATTGCCTAATTTGTTGGCATATAGTTGCTCATAATATGTTCTTATAATTGTTGGTATTTCTTCAGTGTTGGTTGTGATCTCTCCTTTTTCATTCATGATTTTATTTGGGTCCTTTCTCTTTTCTTTTTGACTAGTCTTGCCAGGGGTTTATCAATCTTATTCTTTCGAAGAACCAGCTCCTTTCATATATATATGAAAATAAAATTAAGTGTAATGAAAGGATAGAATGTAACTAAAAATGACAATTTTTTAAAAAAGACTTAAAAAATGAGTTGGTAAAATAAGAAATTGGTTGAAAAGGAAAAAGAAAAAAAAATTAAAATTGAAAGACTTATGAGAAGGAATCATGAGAAAAACACCGAGATTTCCATATACTTTTTACCCCTAGCACTGGAGTATTGCAGTTCTGAGTGATCAGTAAACTTGGTCTTGGTGGGATTTTCTTGCTGATCTGGGGGAGGGGCCTGTTGTGCTGATTTTCTGGTGTCTTTGCCCTGGACAGAATTGGACCACTCTTGCTAGGGGGCCCGGCTAAGTAAGCTGCACTGGATTGCTCTATGTGGCTTTTGTTCAGTGAAGGCTCTCCACCCCCCCTTTAGAGGATGAGAATGAAAATGGCGGCCTCCCGATCTCCAGCCCTGGGGCCAAAAGCTATGCCCTTGACTCCTCAGTGTGCCCTCAGGGAAAAGCAGTCCATTACTCCTGTCTCCCTGGTTTCCATCTGCATTCCATGCTCTCACCCAGCTTGTGACCGTGCATTTCTTTCTCTTTTTAAAATTTTTTTTAAAAGATTTTATTTATTTTTCAGAGAGAGAGAGCGAGCACAAGCAGGGGGTGTGGCAGGCAGAGGGAAAAGCAGGCTCCCTACTGAGCAAGGAGCCCAATGTGGGACTTGATCCCAGGACCCTGGGATCATGACCTGAGCCAAAGGCAGATGCTTAACAGACTGAGCCACCCAGGCACCCCATGACTGAACATTTCTATCTCAGGCATAGGACCCTACTTTGAGTCTCCAAGCCCAGCAGACTCCTGCAGCGTGCAGCCATGCTGCTCCTTCCAGTGGAAGGAGTGGGGTCTCGCCACAATTCTGTGGCTTCCTGGGCCCCTGCATTTCGTGGTTTATGGCAACCCCAAGCTGAAAACTTACTCTGGGGCTCGCTGATTGCAGCCGGCTTTTTTGCTCCGATACCTGGGAACTCTGCCACACTCAGGCACCCCCAGTCTTTCTGTGACCCTAGGGGTCCTGAGGTCACACTGTCCCACCTAGGGATTCTGGCTGCTTTGGCACCTGAGCACCTTTCAGTCAGGATGTCCCTCACCAGAGCAGACTTCTGAAAGTTCCGATTTTGAGCTCAGCTGCTAAATCACTTTATGGTGGTAGCCGGCTTACGGAGGCTCCCTACCCCCGTTATTTATCTTCCCGTATATCACCTCATATTCACTTCTCCGCACCTCCTACCTTGCAGAAAGTGGTTGCTTTTCTATTTGTAGAGTTACAGCTATTCTTTTCTTAGATCTCTGGTTGAGTTCACAGGTGTTCAGAATGCTTTGATAGCTATCTAGCTGAATTCCTGGGACCAGACGAAACTAAGGTCTCTTACTTCTCTGCCATCTTGGAAAACTGGTAAATTGACTCTTACATACTGCTATATTTTTGTATTTATAATGTATGACATATTTTTCCTATTTCCCTTTCTAAATTGTTATTTCTAGTTAAAATAAATAAAATAAATATTATTTCTTTCTGTGTGTCTGTGTAAAATTTTATACGCAGACACCTCCCTGAAGTATTTTTTTAAATGTATTAAGTTTTTTCCCTTGAGATCTTAGATCTTCCAGATGTGAGGGTTATATCATCAGTGATAAGAACTAGTGTTTTTTTGCCCAGTATTTATTCTGATTATTTCTTTTTCTTCTTACTTCATTCATTAGACACTCTAAAGCAATCTTTAATAATGGTGCTAACTGGCATCCTTGTTCCTGATTTTAATAGACATGATTTTATAGCAGAACAGTAGGCTGAATGAGCAAAAACACAGATGTGACCTCGATCACAATTTGTTGATGAGGCTTGGTGTAGGGAAGATATTCAAAACATGAGCAACACTATAGTTTTGTTCTGTTCTTGATTGACTAGGAAGAAGTAAGAGGTAATATAACTCAAAAATACTTGTACACAATTTGTTTCCTAAGGAAGTTAACTGAACTAGGTACAGTTCCTGGTATCCTATTGTTATGATAGGATTGCAAGCACCAGAAAGCACCCACTTCACTTGAGTGATAATGATTTGAAATTGAGACCAATAAAGAAGACTTTTTTTACCCAACCATTTCAGCCACATGTGTGCAGACATAATTCACAGAAAATTAAATTAAAAAGAGTTGGGATTTCTCCATGTGGGTAGAGTGAGTTAAAGATGTATGTGAGAAAGTGATTATTATGATTTTTTTAAGATTTTACTTATTTGTCAGAGAGAGAGAGAGCACAAGCAGGGGGAGTGGCAGGCAGAGGGAGAGGGAGAAGCAGACTCCCCGCTGAGCAAGGAACCCGATGCTGGACTCAATCCCAGGACCCTGGGATCATGACCTGAGCTGAAGGCAGATGGTTAACCAACTGAGCCACCCACGCATCCCGAAAAAGTGGTGTTTATTGATGTACTTTAGATGGATTTTAATGAGGATGACGGTGGAGAGAAAACATGGTAGGATCAGGGCATTATAGGTACTGGTGGGGTAGCATTTTTTAAAGTTGGGATAGTAGAGGGAGATAAGTGGAAAAATAGGATGTTAGAAATTAGAAGGTAGAATATTTAGCATTGAAAATTTTGAGGAGCTCTAGTAAATGACAAGCTCTCTAAGATAATAACCATTGGAGTGACTGAGGTAGGGTGAAGATAAAAATCACTGGAGAGGAATTGAGAGGCCCAGAGATTGGAAGGATTATTAATGGAGATCTGGCAATCAATTAAATTAGTTAAGACAGAATTAATATTGGGGAAATCTCCTGACTGGGAGTTAGAAAGAAATGTCTTCAAGGAAGGAATGGGAGTGACCTTGGTGTCTTACAGATAACTGCAATAAGTTGTTCTGAGGTAAATCCATTCTCTCCTGGCATCAGTTAAAAGTATGGGGAGTTTAAGGGGCACCTGGGTGGCTCAGTTGGTTGAGCATCCAGCTCTTGATTTCAACTCAGGTCATAATCTCAGGGTCATGGGATTGGGCTCTGTGCTCAGCAGAGAATCTGCTGGAGATTCTCTCTCTCCCTTTCCCCCTGCCCCTTTCCCCTTCTAAAATAAATAAATAAATCTTTTTAAAAAAAAGGTATAGGGAGTTTCTGAGCAATTAGAAGTAACTAGCACTTACCAGAAACAAAAACAGTTAATGATTTAAAATACAACATTGTTATGTGTGTTAGTTTCAACAAAAGGGAAAAGAAAGTAAACCATATGTTAATCATCCGAAATACCATTATGTATAATTAAAATGATATTTAGCTGTCATATACCTTAATCATTTATCAACTTTTACTACATAACAGAGCTTACTTGGTAATTACCTGTTGTAAGAATGCAGTTTTTGAATTTTGCTATAAATGCTGTTATAGGTAAAATTCAAGTTATTTTTGAGAATGTAGCATGATCTTTCTTTTTTTCTTGTTGTTTCAGAGACTTCTCCTGAAAGGGAGAATTACAAACCTTTAATTCCTGGAGAAGAAAAAGTAAAATATATTTCACTTGAAATGAATCCATCAGCTACTGTTGATTCTTCTGTGGAAATGAACAGTCCAGAGTTTAGTGAGGCATCTCCACAGACATCATTGAAGCCAGAAGGAAATGTGGATGGTATTTAAGTAGCTCAAAATGAGCTCTCTTTAACTTGATAATACTTTAATTTCTTCTATATAAACAGATCATCAAAACTGTGTATATGTTTGGGTGATTCATCTCAAATTAGGTTGTTTTCTATCTTTAATAACTGGTCTGGATTTTTTTAATGCTGCATAATAAATCACCCCAAAACTTAGTGTTAAAACAACAATACTTTTATTATATCTCATGATTTTGCGTGTCAGGAATTAAGTCAAAGCTTGACTAATGTAATTTTTATAATTCATGTGCTTTTTGCCTCTGGGATCGCTTGATGATATTCAGCGGGCAACCTGGTCTGATGGGTTCAAGATGGCTTCACTGGTGTCTTTTCAGATGCAGCTTGAAGGCTGTGTGATGCTGGTCCCCTCTCCCTCTTCATGTAGTCTCCACACCTTTCCATAACTCTTTCCAGCAAGGTAGTCTGACTCCTTATATGGTGGCCAGGGCTCACAGATCCTAGGCAAAAGCTACTTATACTTTTAAAAGCTAGTCTCAACTGGCACAGTATCACTTCTGCCATATTTCCTTGGTCAAAGCAGTCAGTCACAAACCAGCGTAGATTCAAAGGACATAAAACAGAGCCCACCTTTCCAAGTTAAGAGTTTTTTGCAGCCCTTGGTAATCTGCCATGGTCTGCCACTGAATAAAAAATTATTTACATTTTCTCCCACGTGTAAAATGCACTTACCCCTTCTTAAAGCCTCATCTTGTTTGAGAGAGAGCCACGGATGAGCAGGGGACAGGGCAGAGGAAGAGAGAAAGAGAGAATCCCAAGCCGGCTTCACACTTAGCACAGAGCCAGACACGGGGCTAGATCTCACGACCCTGAGGTCATGACCTGAGTCAAAATCAAGAGTCCAATGCTTAACTGACTGAGCCACCCAGGTGCCCCAGAGCCTCATCTTCTTATTAAAAGGGCTGAAAGTAAAGCTGTTATCCAAGTCAGGCCTATGTAGAGGTGAATTTTCTTGGGTACAGTTCTTTGAGTACAGTTACTCTCAGTCTCAAGACCTATAAGTGAAAAAGATAAGTTCCTTGCCTTCTAAATATCTAACATACAGTAGTGAAACAGGAATAGAGACTCCTTTTCAAAAACAAAGAAAATAAGGGACATATATCAATACTGGTCCATACAAATTCTGCAGCACCAGTCAGGTGTTGCATTGTCAGCTTGCTTCCTTTGCACCAAAGTTAGTGCCCTCAAGGGCTTTTCTAAAATACATCTATGCAATCCAAGCTGATGGTGTTTCTTCAGGTTGAATTTTCTTAATTTTGTGGGCTTTGTATGAATGTTATTCACATTCACTACACCAACCACTCTTCTTTTTTCTTTATTCCTTCCTTCCTTTTTTCCTTCCCTCCCTTGACTTCCATCTTTGACTAGTAAAATCTGCCTTGAATTTAGTGTTTGTTTTGAGGCCATGTTTTCCCTTAAAAAACACTTATTGCCTGGAAGGAATTAACTTGGGCTTTTTCTTCTAAATTGTCCTCATAAACTAAACAGCTCTTTCTTCAACTAATCTGTCCAACTTTATCAGAGGCTACTAAAGAAGCTAGCTGGAATTTTTAACATTCTGCTTAGATAGCAACTTAGCAAGATCATTGAATCTCTTAGGTATGTTTTCTACCATCACTGTTATTCCAGGCACCATATTTTCTGCCACCATAGAACAAGAATCTCCTTTTCTCTAGTCTCCAGAAACTTTTTCACTGGCCAGTCTCTCATCAACAGTCTCCTTGAAGCACTTTTAACTTCTGCCCACTGCCAAGTCCCAAAACCAGTGCATGTTTTAAGCTTTTGTTATGTCAGCCCCCTATTTTCAGATAGGAAATTCTATTTCTGCTATCTATTGCTGCAAAACAAATTATTCCCAAAACTTAGTGGCTTAAAATAACTTGTTTTATCTCACGTTTTAGTGGGTTAGGAATTGGGAAAGTTCTCCTCCATGTGGCATCAGTACCACTCAGTGGTATTCACCTGTCAGCTGGGCTTATCTGGAAGGGGCAAGATGTCATTCCATGCATGGTGTCTCAGCAGGGCCTGTTTAGCTGGTTCCCTCTCCTTTTTTAGTCTCAGGAACTTGCCATGTGGTCTTTCCAGAATAAACTTTCATGGTGGTTTAGGCTTCCAGATTCCAGTGTAGAAGCTGCCAATTTTCTTGAAGACTAGAGCTGGAACTGGCATAAACTTGAACTATACTCAGTTAAGACAATCACAATGCCAGCCCAAATTCAAGGGGAGGGGAAGTACAGGCCCCCTCTACATGAGAGAAATGTCAGAGACCTTGCTGTATGTGTGACTATTGTTAATTCACCATGATAACTTAAATAGTCTTACTTATTAGAATGATAGTTAGTAGGTATGCCTTTTCTTTTAAAAAAACAGAAGCCTATTAGGCATATAGTAGAGACTATACAGCCTAGTACAAGTCAGCAAACATTTCCTACAAAGAACCATATAGTAAATATTTTAGACTTTGAGGGCAATGCAGTAAAAAATCTAGTTTGTAGAATAAGTCATGTTGGTATGGCTTAAGGTGCTAAGGAACAATTATTCACTAAAAAATAACTAAAAGATTTCTTCCCTAAGTGCTTGCTTTGTACAGGTAAACAAAAAAAAATAATAATTTGAATAACGGATAAAAACTTTAAGGACTGGTACAGTATCAGTTCTCTTTCTAAATAGGACAAGCTAATTGAAAACTTTAAAAAATACAGAATGAAAGATTACCTAGATTCCAGGAAAAAAGAGGGAGTGATGGTGGCTTAAACAAGAGCATTGTGGGGCGCCTGGATGTTGCAGTTGGTTAAGTGTCTGACTCTTGGTTATGGCTCAGGTCATGATCTGGGGGACTTGAGATCAGGCCCTACTCAGTGGGAAGTCTGCTTAAGACTCTCTCCCTCTGCCCCTCCCCCCATGCTTACGCACGTGCATTCTGTCTCTCAAATAAATAAATATTAAAAAAAGCATTGATAATCTGAATTGAAGAGGAAAAAGAGAAGTCAGCAAATGAAGACAGAAACTTTTCTCATTAGTATTTACTTTCAGAAAATAACCAGAGAGTTAACAAGATTAAAGATCTACAGATAAAATATTTAATTTTTTGTTATAATTAGTATGTTAGCCTAAAACTAGGTAATGATAATTTATAGAATATTTGTTCAAATATCTATAGCTGGATTTTGCTTTAAGACATGTCTGTTGTTGTTTTTGATTTTCAGAAGCTGATGGCTTAGAAACAGAAGTTCTGCAAGAGCCAGATGGAACAAACAAAGATGGTAGCTTGCCATGCACGATTATTGATGTATGGATTAGTGAGATAAAAGAAACAAAGGGAACTGAGTATGTTACCTCTTTTTCCTTACATTTCAAAACCTGGGTCCCTTTTTGTAATACTTTTTTAAAAAATACTATAATAACCTAATACTGCCCTATATCCTATTATTATAATACCTTATAAAATAATTTAATTTTTGGAAAGATATTACATTCATGTGATTCAGAAATCAAGTATATAAAGATAGAGAGTAAAATGTCTCTTTCCCAACTCTGTCCCCATCCAGCAGATTCCCATTTTCTCTTCCTTCCAGATATTTTTAATCTATCCAAAGCAAAAATGTCTCCCTCCCTTTTAAATAAAGTTATTAGTATAATGTATATGGTATTTTTGCCTTTTTATTTTTATTCAGTAACCTAGGAATTTTTTCATATTAATCCATAGAGAGCTTCATTTTTTTTTTCTCTTATTTTATGGCTACTTAGTATTCCACTAAATGGATATACCACAACTCAGCAGGTCTTCTACATTAATTGATATTCTACATTAATTGATATTTCAAATGATGTTGCAATGAATAACAACCTTTTATATAAGGTCATTTTGCATGTATATACGTATATCTATATGATAGATACATAGAAGTACACTTCCTATGTCAATTGCATTCTTATAAATTGCATTTGTAATTCAGTTACTGTTCTTCCCAGGGTTTGTACTAATTTACATTCTCAGAAAGAATGTATGAAACTTATTTCCCCCAGCCTTGCCAAACTTATTATCAAACTTTTTTATTTTTGCCAATCTGATAGGTTAAAAAATAGTATCTTGATTTGGGTTCTTAGTTTATCCATCTCTTATTATTGGTAAAGGGAGCACATTTTTTCAAATGTTTAAGTTTCATGTGTATTTCTTTTTCTGTGAGTTCTCTGTATTATATCTTTGACCCATTTTAAAAATGTGGTTGTTGGTCTTTTATAAATTAGTAAGAACTCTTTAAATATTAGAGATATTTGCCATGGTTATGATTATGTGAGTTGCAACCATTTTTTCCTTGTCGGCCATTTATGTTTTATTTTTTTGCCATGCAGAAGGTTTTGGGTTTTTTTTTAAAGATTTTTAAAGTTTTTTTTTTAAAGATCTTATTTATTCATTTGAGACACAGAGAGAGAGAGAGAAAGCATGAGAGAGAGAGGCAGAGGGAGAGGGAGAAGCAGGTTCCTCTCTGAGCCAGGAGCCTGATGTAGGGCTCCATCCCAGGACCCTGGGATCATGACCTGAGCCGAAGACAGACACTTAACCATCTGAGCCACCCAGGCGCCCCTAAAGATTTTTTTTATTTATTTATTTGACAGAGAGAGACACAGCGAGAGAGGGAACACAAGCAGGGGGAGTGGGAGAGGGAGAAGCAGGCTTCCTGCGAAGCAGGGAGCCCGATGCGGGGCTCGATGCGGGATCCTGGGATTATGAACTGAGCCGAAGGCAGACGCGTAATGACTGAGCCACCCAGGCGCCCCCAGAAGTTTTTTTAATTGTCATGTTTACCTGGATTTTAATAATCACTCAGAGATACTTTGTTCTTTCTAAGATTCTCAAAGAATTTTTCAGTTTTTTTTTTCTAGTACTTTCCCAACATGGGCACTTTTTACATTTAAATCTTTAATCTATTTGGAATTTATCCTGGGGTATGGGTTTAGTTTTTCTTCAGATAGCTACCCAGTTGTCCAGTTGTATTTATTAAAAAGTTCATCTTTCCTGCGTAGATTAAAAATGCCACTTTTAATATATACTAAATTTTCTTAATTTCATTGTTCTTTTTTGGTTTTCTTGGCTATTCTTGCTTGTGTCAAATTTCTTTTGAATTTAGAATTTACTAAATTTTGCCTACCTTCCCCAGGAAAAAAATCAATTGGTATTTTATTGGGATATTAAATTCATAGATTAACATAGGGAAAATCAACCTGTTGTGTTCCTCCTGTCCAAGAAGAACATGATAGGCCTTTCTTTTGAGTAAGTTTTGAGTATTTTTATAGTTTCCTTCATCTAGGCTTTACACTTTTATTGGTAAGCTTATTCCTAGATAAATTCTTTTCTTTTGTTTTTGTTATTCTTTGGCCCCTATTCTTCTATGAGATCTTGTAACTAGAAGGTTGTGTGTATGAAAGCTTAGATTTCTTTATATTGATTTTGTACCCCACTATCTTATTGATATCTACTGTTGTTCATGATAGATTTTCAGTCTGATCTTTTGCTTTTTTCAGATATACACTCATATCATATGAAAACAGTGATGATTTTATGTCTTTCCAATTTTTTTAACACTAGTTTTTTTTTTTCTATAATTGCTTTGGTTAGTATCTTTTATACGATGTCAAATATTGGAAATGGGGATACCTCTGTGTTGTTCTTGACTTTAGTGAAGATGCTTCTGTTATTAACCATCACTAGGCATGAATGTTTATATAAATGTTTTCCTTTAATTATTAGTACAGTTAACTTTTGAACAATACAGTTTTAAGCTACATGGCTCATTCTATACACAGATTTTTTTTTTCCCAATAAATATATTGGAAAATTTTTTGGAGATTTGTGGCAATTTGAAAAAACTTGCAGGTGAACTGTGTAGCTTGGAACACTGAAAAAAAAAGTTAGGTATTTTAAGAATACAGCATATAATACATATAACATGCAAAATATGTTTATCAACTGTGTATGTTATCATTAAGGCTGTGGTCCACAGTAGTCTATTAGTAGTTAAGTTTTGGGGAAGTCAAAATTTACATGCACATTTTTGACTGCATAGGGGATTCAGCCAGCACCCCATCCCTCCACATTGTTCAAGGGTCAGCTGTATGATCAATTATATTAATGGATTACTTAACGTAAACCATCCTGCATACCTTAAGTACATTCTTCTTGGTCATGACATATTATTTTAAGGTACTTATGTATTTTAGGATTTTTGTATTAATACTTGCGAGAGTCATCTGCAGTTCCTTTTGGTTACGGGAAATTATTGTTGGATTTTGTTATTCTTGTTATGGTTCATTTATAAAAAGTAATTGGCAATTTCTTCCATTGCCATCGTCTTTAACAGGGACAGTCAATCTTTTTCTGTAAAAGCTAAATAATAAATATTTCAGCCTTGGGTAGACTATTTGGTCTGTGATGCAGCTACTCAACTCTGCCTAAGTAGTGCAAAAGCAGCCATGGATGATACATAAACAAATAAGTGTTACTGTTTCAATACAACTTTATAAAAACAGGAAGAGGGCTGCACTTCGACATGGGCACAAAAAAACATACGCAGAAATGCTTATTATTAAAAAAAAGAATGCTTATCATAGCAAATAATTTGAAATAGTCTCATAAGGAAATGGCTAAAAATACTGTTTCTCTATACTACACAGTGTATCTAGCACTTAAACACAACTTGAAAATAAAAGTTCCATTTCTAAAGCCATTCAGCAAAACAATATCAGATTTATTAAAGAGCTAAATGTCAACAAATGGAAAGGAGACAGCCTAATAATTAATATCCAGAATTCATAAAGAACTTGGCAAATTAAGAAGAAGACCAAAGTCCAAGAGGAAAATGGGGAAAGAATATGAATATAACTGTTTATAAGGGAAACCACATATATACTTTATGGATTATAGAGTCAATACAATGAGAAAAAAGACATCAAATTCCTAAGTTCTTTGACTAACTTTACTCAGTGGAGAACTATGAATGTATGAATGTCAGATACTTGTTCTTCCTCAAAGAAGAGGAATAAATAAAAGGCGGGCCAAGAGTCCAGATGTTTTGCCAGTGAAAGTTTCTTCCCAAAATAACATGAAGCCAGGAGGAATGCAAGTAATAGCATCAAATATTGGTGAGAGATTGGGAACTAGGGGCATTGATACATTGCAAGCACACATAAGAATTGGGAGAGCCAGTTTGGAAATCCATTTGCCAATTTTGTTAGTTTAAAATGTGCATATCGAGGGCATTTGGGTGGCTCGTTTAAGCTGTTAAGTGTCTGCCTTCTACTCAGGTAATGATCCCAGGGTCCAGGGATTGAGCCCCGCATAGGGCTCCCTGCTGAGGAGCTTCTCCTCTCCCTCTTCCCCTGCTTCTCCCTCTCTTGCTCCCCCTGCTTGTGCTCTCTCTCTCTCTGTCAAATAAATAAAATCTTTTAAAAAATAATAATGTGCGTGTCCTGTAATAATGCATTTTTACTTTTTGGTATCTACTCTAAGATTACTCATACATGGGCACAAAGAGTCATATGCAAGAATGTTTATTGTAGGAGAATCGTAGCAAATAATTTGAAAGAGCCTAATCACTAATAAGGAAGTTGCTAAAAATAAAGAACTTTCTGTATACTGCATTATGGATAGTATATAGCACTCTAAAGAATAAAATGTAGCTTCATGTATCAATATGGAAATATGCCCCAATTATCAAATGGTTAATAAAATAATATTGAATAAAAAGGCATTTCCATATATTAAAATAATGCTATTTATTTCTCTGTAAAATTCAAGGGAAAATATGGTAAGATGTATACCAAACTGATGACAGTAAGGGCAACTGAGCTTTGAGTTTACTATGGGGAATTCTCAAAGGAACATTACATTTTTTTTTTAGTCAAGGTAAAATTGATATAAAATTACCATTTTAACCATTTTAAAGTGTACAATTCAGTAGTATTTATTACATTGACAGTGTTGTGTAGCCATTACCACTATGTGGTTCCAGAACATTTTCATCACCCCAAAAGGAAACCCTGATACCAGTAAAATAGCCACTCTCCATTTCCCCTCCCCCCAGCCTTTGTCAATCACTAATCTCCTTTCTGTCTATAGATTTGCCTATTCTGAATATTTCATATGGAATCATACCGTATGTGGCTTTTTGTATCTGGCTTCTTTCACGTACCATAATGTTTTTAAAGTTTATGTTGTAGAATATATCATTCCTTCATTTTTATGGCTGAAAAATCCATTATGTGGAATATACCATATATTTTTATCCATTAAGCAATTGATGGATATTCAGCAGATGACAGTGGGTCATTTCCAGGATTGTTTCTACCTTTTGGCTGTTGTAAATAGTGCTTGTATGAATATTTGTGTACAAGCTTTTGTTTGCACACCCATATTCTTTTAAGTGTATAACTAGGAATAGAATTGCTGCAGCGTGTGGTAATTCTATGTTTAACTTTCTGAGGAACCAAGGAACATTACATTTTGAATGAAGAAAAGTGTTACTTGTATGATTAGAAATAAAAACTGAAAACCAAAAATAGAAAAATTTTCAAAATTTAAAACTGAAAAAGTAAAAATTTATTTAAATTTGAGATGAATTACAAAGAATTAAGAAAACAAAAACTGCTTATAAGCCAAACTTGCAGAGATAAGTTACCGGGGTGCCTTTGGTTTTTGTTGTTGTTGTTTTTATTGTAGTAGACACACAGTGTTAACATTAGTTTCTGACAACTCTGTACTTAAACTGTTGTTATCACAAGTGTAGCTATCATCTATCACCATACAGCACTGTTATAATACCATTGACAATATTCCCCATGTCTGTGTTCTCTTTATCCCCATGACTTACTCATTCCATAACTGGAACCATGGACCTCTCACTACCCCTAACCCTTATTGCCCATCTTCTCACCCCCCCTTCCTTCTGGTAACTACCAGTTTATTCTCTGTATTTATGGCTCTGTTTCTGCTTTTTGTTTGCTTCATTTGTTTGTTCATTTGGTTTTTAGATTCCACATATAAGTGAAATCATACGGTTCTTGTCTTTCTCTGTCTGACTTATTTCACTGAGCATGATACCTTCTATATCCATCTGTATTATTGCAGATGGCCAGATCTCATTCCTTGTTATGGGTGAGTAATATTCCTGTGTGTGTGTGTGTGTGTGTGTGTGTGTATATTCATCTGTCAGTGGACACTTGGGTTGCTTTCAAATCTAGGCTATTGTTAATAATGCTGTAATAAACATAGGGGTGCATAGATCTTTTCAAATTAGTGTTTCTGTTTTCTTTGGATAAATACCCAGTAGTGGAATTACTGGATTGTATGATATTTCTATTTTTAATTTCTGGAGGAAACTGTACTGTTTTTTATAGTGGCTGCACTATTTACATCCTCACCAGCAGTGCACAAGGATTCCTTTTTTTTTTTTTTTTTTTTTTAAGATTCATTTATTTATTTGTCAGGGGGAGAGAGAGAGAGAGAGAGAGCACAAGCAGGGGGAGTGGCAGGCAGAGGGAGAAGCAGGCTCCCTGTTGAGCTGCCTGCAATGTGGAATTCCATCCCAGGACCCTGGGATCATGACCTGAGCCAAAGGCAGACACTCAACTGACTGAACCAACCAGGCCTCCCAAGGGTTCCTTTTTTGTCCACATCCTCACCGACACTTACCTCTTATCTTTTTGTTAATAGCCATTCTAACAGATTTGAGATATCTTGCTTTTGATTTGCATTTCCCTGATGATTAGTGATGTTTAACATCTTTTTTGTTTGTTTGAAAACTTTGGACTGTATTCTTCCAGTCTTTAAGTTTTTGTTAAAAAAATATATAATACATGAATAGAATTCCCAGATGTATTGAAATAAAAACTGTCAGTTCTTCTTTACCTTTTTTCCTCAATTAATTCACTCTTGAGTGTTAAAATTTTTTTGTGTATATCATTCTATATAGTGTGCTACACACCATTTTTTGAAACCTAACACCATTTAATACAAATTGATCTGTAGATTACTTTGCTTACTTAATAAAATATATTATTTATTTTATTTATAAATTTATATTAATTTATTTATATTTATAATAATAAATTTATTTTATTTATAAAATATATTAATTCATTTTATTTATATTTATAAATAAATGTACTTAATATATTAAATAAATATATATATTTGTTTCTACTTTGCTTAAATATATTAATTTATTTATATAATATATATTAAATGTATGTTTATATTTATTTTATTTATATTTATTTATAAACTATCATTCCACAGTATTTCACATAGATTTCTATTTCATTGTAACAGCTGCATGATATTTTATAGTATTAGTATATTATAATTGTTTTACATTCTCTGCTATTAAGGGACATTTTGATTGCTTGAAGTAGTGGTTCTCAAACATTAGCAAATATTAGAATTACTTTGGTTTTTATTAAAATAAATTGCTGGGCCTTATCCCCCAAAGTTTCTGATTGATAGGTCCAGGGAGGCCCTGAGCATTTATATTTATTTTTTTAAGATTTTATTTATTTATTTGACAGAGAGACAATACAAGCAGGGGGAGTGTGAGAGGGAGAAGCAGGCTTCCCCCTGAGCAGGGAGCCCGATGCGGGGCATTGTGGGGCTCAATCCCAGGACCCTGGGATTATGATCTGAGCCATAGGCAGACACTTAACGACTGAGCCCCTCAGGCGCCCCCTGAGCATTTGTATTTTGAGCAAGTTTCTGTGTGTTCCTAATGTCTAGGGGCCACATTTTGGGAACCACAATTATAAGAAGTGGTGAGGCTGGTTTTTGTGACTATGACTGGTGAAGGTTTTAACCGGGTAAAAAATACAATGTACTTATGAGAGGAAATATATATATACATATATATATATCCACACACATAAGTGAGGAAAATATTTGGAAGAGGGACCACAGGATGCTAGTGAACTTGTGCTCCTTTTTTTTTTTTTTTTAATTTAAGAGTGCTTTTATTTCTAGTAAATTGTATTTCTACCGATGTATCCATCTGGGCAGGTTGGAAGATAGGATCACTGTTCAGCAAAATGAAGTTCCTGAAGATGAAATCTCAAACAATGTGGACCACCTTAGTGAAGTTGATATTAGTAAGTTTCATTGTATTAGACTACTTTTGGAAGGTTGTTAACCTGAATCTGTTTTATTTGGACAACATATTAATAGCATTTTTTATCAGTCCCCTCAATTGTTTAAAAAATGTAATAGGCATAGAGCACTAGATTCTCATTAATAAGCCTGGATTGTTTGGCAACATGGGCAATAAATCTTTTTGGTCAATTATTTTATGAAATGTTCAAAACAGAAAGAATTGCTTGCCAAAACTAAGCCAGTATACTAAGGACATTAAGTAAGTTGGCTTCTTGTTTTTAATAATATTAATTATAAAATATGAGAAATATAATTTTTCCTATCTAACCTGTAGGAACAAAGATAAACTGGAGCTAAATATGAGTGTCTAAACAATATATTTTCACATTTCCTAATTTTTTTTCTTTTTCCTATTTTAATTGGAAATATCATAACATTCTGATACTGTGAAAGTAGAAATTCGTTCTAGTGCTAATGACACTTTTTTTATTATGTTATATATTTTAGAACTTGAATTTAATGGAGGTATATAGCAAATTAATCTGCTTTCTGAAAATAAAACCTTATATCCTATCAAAGGTTACTTATAAGGTAATATAATCATATCTATACTTTGGTTTTTCTGATAGAGAGTTTTTGGCTAGATTCGTGTTAAGTACTGTGCTTTTTCAGTATCACATAGAGGTTAAGTACTGTATAGACATCACAAAATTTTTCCTTTATACCACAGGACCTGAAATAGGTGATTCTCAGCACCCTAAATGTGATGTTGATAAATCTGTGCAACCAGAGCCATTTTTCCATAGAGTGGTTCTTTCAAAACACTTGAACGTAGTCTCTCAAATTCAGTCAATTCTTTGTTCACCAGAAGAATCCTTTCCGCTTCGATCTCGCTCTGATTCACCACCAAAAAATAAAAGCCAAAATTCCTTGCTGATTGGACTTTCAACTGGTCTATTTGATGCAAACAACCCAAAGGCAAGTATGCACCTCCAATGGAAAATATCTGTTTTAATAACATTTCTTATTTACTGTTTTTCTTTAATAAACCATAATATTGATTTTAAATATAATTTAATCTCTTATACACACACACACACACAAATAAACAAAAACAGTAATAAAACCTCCATCTTCTCTTTTGGGATTCTGAAAAGAAATTGCCATTGAGAGTACAACTAGGACAAAGACTGTTTCACTGGCTCCTTGTTCAGGATTCTTTTTATTGGGTCAACTTTTATTTAAGTAAAAATCCCTCTTACACCGTTTCCCTTTCTCACTACTCAACCCAACTTCCATTTTTCATATAAGACTAAATTTAAGCAATATATTTTAAGTCGACAGAAGTGCTGTTTGCCTAATTTGTATGTAGAAAAGGTAATAGATATTCATATGCACTTTATGGCAAAAAATTTTCAAACTTCTTACCTTTTTTCACTTGCTGTTTTTGAAAATATGTAACCAATTTTTTCTTATTAAGAAATTACAATATTTAGGGGCGCCTGGGTGGCTCAGTCGTTGAGCGTCTGCCTTCGGCTCAGGTCATGATCCCAGGGTCCTGGGATCGAGCCCCGCATCGGGCTCCCTGCTCCACGGGAAGCCTGCTTCTCCCTCTCCCACTCCCCCTGCTGTGTTCCCTCTCTCACTGTCTCTTTCTGTCAAATAAATAAATAAAATCTTTAAAAAAAAAAAAAAGAAATTACAATATTTATAGAAAATTTAAAGATATAAAGAAATCACATATTTTGTTATATTACTTTTACATATGTAATTATTACATATATAAAACTTTCTGCCAAAATAGAATAGTATGCATATTTTTTGTTACCTCCTTTTCTGTTTAATATGTACTATAAAATTATTACAAATGTTAATATTACAAATTATTATAAAAACAGCATTTTGTCATATCATCAAATAATCTCTCATATCATCTATAATGACCACAAATTCCATTGTGCTACTATGCTAGATACAATTTTTTTAACTAATCTATTTTTGTTGAGCCTTTAGGTTTCAATTTTTGTTACAGTAACCACCTACATCTGTATCTTTGACAGTAGCCACAATTATTTTCATAAAATAAATTTCTGTAAGTGGAGTTCAAAAGTTATATTGTATAGTGCCTGATTTCCCTTTAAGAAATAGCTTATAATGCCTCAATAGTATGTAAGAGTCTGGACTCTAAAAAGCACCACTGTTATCATTCACTTAAAAATTGTGTATTTAGTGAGCCGAGTAATGATATTTTTAAAAATTTGTGTTTCTGTGTTTACCAGTGGGGTTGGACATTTTTCATGTATTTAAGTCTACATGGGAATGAATTACCTGAATTCTTTTGTCCTTTTTAAATATGTCATTTTGATTTTCAATTTAATTTTCAAATTGGATATGTTTTTATTTTTTGGAGTGTTTTCTTAAGCTTATTTTAAATGTAGAGATTGCGAAATTCTCTCACTTGTCTAATAGCAGTCAAACTTTCAAAGATAATAAACTGTGAAAACAAATTTATGATCTTCAGAGTTTGAGAATAAGGCCTATTTATGGTACAGACAAGGATTATCCCATAATTCATGTACTTTCTTTTGTAGTAAAGGTGTATAGCTAACTGTCTTTAGCCCAGAATTTTTGAATAACTTATTTCTGTTTATAAAGTTAACATTCCTTGCATAATACATTTTATTATTTGATTTTCTTTGATAGCCTTAGTTCAGCCTTAGTAATTCTACGGAAGTACTTACTTGGGAAGTAAGCACAACAAAGCAGATTTTGTGTAGGGGACTGACTGTGAGAGGGAGGGGCAAGAAAAAACCCTAGAAAATCAAAGCAATTTGTAGCCATTTAAGACAAGGACAGAAGGCCATACCTATCTATCCCTTAAATCTTTGAGGTCATGAGGGGCACCTGGGTGCCTCAGTCGTTAAGCATCTGCCTTCCACTCAGGGCATGATCCCAGGGTCCTGGGATTGAGCCCCGCATCAGGCTCTCTGCTCAGCGGGGAGTCTGCTTCTCCTTCTCCCTCTGCTGCTCCCCCTGCTTGTGCTCTCTCTCTCTCTCTCTGTCAAATAAATAAAAATCTTTAAAAAAAAATCTTTTGAGGTCATGCGAGTTCATCACTGGGCCAAAATGGTGACCTTGAAATATGAAGAAAAGGTAAAAATTATTTATAATCATTTAAATAATCTGTTTACTAAATGGAATAATTTGAGCTCTTACAAAGATTTTTGTTGAAATTCTTTTTAAAAATGTTGTTATGCCACTTCTTTTTTTATTAAAGGAAATCCTCCTTGTACTTTGAATCCTAACCTCTCTCACCTTCTCAAGAATTCGCTTGTTTACTTTGGTCACACTAGCTTGTATCATCAACTTTTTCCTCTATAATGGATCATTTCCTCAAAATGCATATTCTAATAAGTCCCATCATAATTAGCAAACTTCTCATGAGAACATGCCCTTCTTCTCTGGCTACCACCCCTCTCTCTGCTCCCTTTTACAACCAAACATCTTGAGTATGTTGTATCTTTACAGTCTCCACTTCCATTCACTTCCAAATACATTCCAACATGACTTTTAGCCCACTCCTCCATTAAAATTGCTTTTGTCAAATCAATTACTAGTACATTGGCAAATTCCCAGTACCTTTTTCTCTCTCACCTTTCTTGACTTTTCTTCTTCCAACACAGTTGATATACACTTTATTTTTAAAATAGTTTTATCTCTTGGCTTTCTTTATATCATATTTTCCTCTGCACTCATGAGTCACCCTTTAGTCTCCTTTACTGGTGGCTACTACTCTAACAGATCTCTTTAAAAGAATGTGTATTCTTCTATCATCATGTAAAATGTTCTGTAAATGTCAAGAATTAAGTCAAATTGGTTGATAGTGCTGTTCAAGTCTTCTTTATCTTTACTAATTTTTTTGTCTATTGTATCTAGTTATATCATTTGTTGAGAAAAGAATGAAAAAATTATGTAATTATCTTTTCATTTGTGTCAATTTTTGTTCCATGTATTTTGAAACTTTGTTATTGAGTGAATAAAAATTTAGTATTACTGTTCCTTCTGGATGAATTGATAGGTTTATTGTTATGAAGGGTCCCATTTGTTTGATAGTGTTGTTCATCTTCTGTGTTCTTACTGATTTTCTTTCTACTTGTTTATCAGCTACTGAAAAAGGAGTATTGAAATTTCCAGTCAATTGAATGTAAATTAATAATCTTTATATCTTCTTGATAAATTGCCTTCTTTATCATTATGAAATGACTCTCCTTATTCTTGGTCATATCACCTTGTTCTGAAATCTATTTTGTCTGGTTTTAATATAGCCAGCCATTCCAGCTTTCTGATGATTAGTATTTGTAAGGTGTATATATATATTTTACCTTCTTAACTTGTAATCACACTGATTTTTATGTAGATTTTTTTGTAGCTGTCACGTTGTCAGGTCTTGCTTTTTAACCAGTCTGACAACCTCTTTTATTTAAAGTGATTAGACCATTTACTTTTCATGTAAAATTTTTGATAATATTATTGGTATGACTGAGTTTAAACCTACCATTTTGCTATTTGTTCTCTATTTGTCTCATCACTTTTTCTGTTCTTATTTTACTTTTATTCTCCCTTCTTTCAGATTGAGTATTTTTAGCATTTTATTTTATCTCTACTCTTTGCCAATATAGACCTTTTCAAAAACTTATTTGTAATTCTCAGCTTTCAAGATGCAGTTTTAGCTTTTTAGCGTCTGCCTTCAAAATATTATACCACTTCACATATGACACAGAACGTTTTCACAGTGTACTTCCATTTCCACCCTTTTGTCTATTCTTTTGGCATTGTTGTCTTATATTTTACATCCACATGTAAATTTTTATTGTTTTTGCTTTAAACATTCAGGAATAACAGACATAGCCCCTGTCCACCAACCTATGTGGTCCTCTTCATTTTTTGAGAAAAAGTAGAACTTAACCAACAACAAAAACATCTAAAAAATCTATCAAAGACTGTGAACATGAAGCATTCTTAATATAGGACAGATAGCTGTTGAACTGATGGGTGCATAGACCCATTCCAAGAGGAAAATTGCCAAATTACATACCTCTCGAAATTTCTTTCTACTATATTATTTTATGTTAGGTTAGGAAAGCTATTTTAATTAGTGAAAGGAATAAACTAAAATTGAGATTTTTTTTTTTACCAGGGTTAGAATTTATCTCAGTCTAAAAAATATTGCATCTTTATATAGAGACCCCTTGAATTTAGGTATATAATGCATATATGCTATATATTTTTGATTTTAGCATCTGGAGAAAATGTTACTATATGCATACTTTGCACACTGCTGGTTTATAATATACATGGTTCAAATAAACAAGTCAAGCATAAATTCTGCCGACAATGGGAGATTCAGCAAAAGAAATATCTTCAGTACCATCAATAAGTGTTTTAACAAGCAGTGTATCTTCACCATCTTATAGTTCATAACTATTTTTTACTTGTGCTGTAATATGTAAATTATGTTCAAATAACGGAAATCTATTCTTTTTCTCAAAAACAGATTGTACCAATTAAATTGGCAAAATATATAAATTTTCATTAATATGCTAAACATTGTGTTTTCTTCATAGTCCCCAATCTGGTGTAGGATTCTTACCAGGGCCTTAGGAATTATGTTTCCCAAATCTTACAGTTTCCTTTATGGTTATTAACCGAATTCTGAGGCTTATGTATATAGACATTTGTTTCATTGTCTTGTCTATCCATCACATTCTAATTGCTGATAGGTTGGTGGACAGGGCTATTTCTGTTATTCCTGGTCTTATCCAAACAAATTCAAATTTTAAACACCTCAACTGTACATTGTTTTTTTCCCAAGTCAGTTTCTTCTCACCTGCTGCTATAAATGATTCTCAGTATGAACATCAAGTACCTGTCTTTCTAGGCTTGCCTTCTTGTGGGAAAGGCTCCAATTATAGTCCCTTGTTCATGGAAGTGATATTAGACTTTTTTATTTTTGCACTAATATGAAGTTCCTTATTTAACCATTGTTGGCTACCCAGCAGGCCCTATGATACAAAGGGCCACTAATTATGTGTAATAGTGCTTTGCCAAGCCTCAGACTAACTCAGTTCAGGATTTGGGGAAAATATATGGGGAAGATTGGCCATACAAAAGTGTGAGAGAAAGAGAGACAATAAAAGGAGGACAGTGTGGGTCTTGAGTGAGAAGGAGCAAATTGGCAGTTTCTGGCACTGCCTGATTTCTGACAGATTTCTAATTCCATTCCCTGGGCATACCCCAACTAAACACCTCTCCCTGCCTTTTAATGGTGACTTAAGTGAATCCCTACCGGTTTAGTTTCTCACTGAAAAAATACAGAGCTGAAATTCAAGAAATTAGGTTCTAATCTTAGACGAGTCACCTCTGGAGCTTCTAACTCTAAATATATGATATAAAATAAAAAATTAGTATTAGCACTAACTTTCTAATTTTTTAATTCATTTTTGTTTTCTAATGATCTTACTCCTACTAAGAAATCTGTTGACTTTTTTAGATGTTGAGGACGTGTTCACTTCCAGATCTCTCAAAATTGTTCAGAACACTGATGGATGTTCCCACTGTAGGAGATGTATGTCAAGACAATCTCGAAATAGATGAAAATGAAGATGAGCATATTAAGGAAGGACCATCTGATTCTGAAGACATGTGAGTATGATGTCATTAATAAATACTAGCACTAACAGAAGTTCTGAGTTTATGTGAACTCTAGAGATGTAACTCACCTAGACAGGTTTTTTTAAAGATTTTATTTATTTATTTGACAGAGACACAGTGAGAGAGGGAACACAAGCAGGGGGAGTGGGAGAGGGAGAAGCAGGCCTCCTGTGGATTAGGGAGCCTGATGCGGGGCTCCATCCCAGGACCCTGGGATCATGACCTGAGCCGAAGGCAGATGCTAAACGACTGAGCCACTCAGGCGCTGCCACCTAGACAGTTTTAAAAAATTATCTGTAACTGATTTTTCACCACTCCTTTGCCTTTTTACAACATATTTAAAGTACAGTCATGCAAGTTTTGATATGTATATTTGCCTCTAGGTAATATAATGACTGACTCTCACTTGAGGAATATGAGAAAATGGTTTGTGTGTGTGCTTTCTGTCATATTCACCACTGAGCATCTAGCACATTGACTTGTCCATGGTACATGCTTAATAAATATCGCTTAAATGAAGGAATATTAGCAGAATAATGACCATTTAAAAGCTTAATACCACATGATATAGGGATTGCAATGGAAAATTGTGAAATATGAACTATTCTACAATTCCCCAGGGAAAAGAGCAGAAAGCCTCTACAATTCTCTCCTGCCATATATGATTTCAAAACCATGACCGTGGGAAGTTAGCAGGTAGACTAGTTGTTTTGTTTGCATATGTGTGTGCACATGTGTGTTCTGCATGTAACTTAATTGCTTTCACAGAATTCCTTTCTTCATGATTCATAGGGAATCTAGAATCCAAGAGGCAAATTTAACCAACCCTTCTGAGAAGTGTAGGAAGTGATAGCCCCTTAGACAGTACAAGTAAGCCCTCCCCGACCAGACAGATGTTACCCAATATGGGGGGGAAATAAAGTGTTTGTGAAGGTATAGTGTATTCAAATCATCAAGAAAATATGGTATAAAATACTGGGATTTTTATGATTTATTTTCTGATATTTTTGAACTTAAGTTTCTACATTTTACGTCTTTTAATAGAAAAAAACTGTGTTTGGATATGATCGATATCCAATTAAATATCAATCTCATGATTTTTCCCCCCTATACTAGTTGAGCCAGAGCCACTGTTTCTGGCACATATTATTTTCTGGTTTTTTTGTTTGTTTTTCTTAAGGCTTGACTCTTGTTTCTTAAATTTTTAACCAGACTGTGTCTATTAAAAGTTTTGCCCCCCCTTTTTTCATCTTTCATAGAGTTCTTTATATTTTTGCTAGTGTCCTCAGATTTTTCAGGAAGTTACCCTTTTATCCTTGTTTTCTTCTGCTTGGCTGTAGTCATAAGCACTTTAACTATGTGTTTTTATTGAGCTTCTTGGAGAACATGACAACGTATCAGCACCTTTATGGTTGACAGAGTGCTAGGTAACAGTTTTTCCTCAAAGTTTATATAAAGTCATCAGTTTTTATCTGACTGCACAGTAAGTTGTTTGTGGCTTGTGTTCTTTTAATTACTAGTTGATGACAATTTTATTTTAAAATTTAAATTAGAAGTTTTTAATATTAACTTAAAATTTTGAAAACCAAGTTATTTTTTAAAGTAAGTTAGTCCATACCAGGAAATTTTACTTGATGTTTTCCTTGGGATTTTTTTTCTCTTTTTTTGGTCCAAACTTCACTCAAGGTCATATAATAAGAAAATCTACTAAAATGTGAATTCAGGGCCAGATTTTAAAATATATCTTTCAAAAAGATATTAATCTTACACTTTTCTTATAATGGCAGACTTGGCAGCCCCATTTACTTTAATACCACCTATAGTGGGCACTAATTCCTCTGGGTTGGCCATAGGTAGATTTTATCAACAGGTCATTATTTAATCATTGTTGAAATGTACATAGCGGATGTGCATATTATGTTAATCTTGTAATATGAAGTTGAATGCTACTAATAGGATGATCCAAAAAATTAGACATACTCTCTTTCTCATTCTAATTAGATGCTTTGCTTTTCTATACCTGCTACAAAGTCAAAGTGTAGAAGTTTGTACACATAAACAGAAAATAAAGATATTTCTACTTTAAAAGAGCATTTTCTTTTCCATTAATGGAAATTTTATTTAAGATCTTGCATAATACCATTTCTATTTTAGCTTTTTAGTAAATACTTATTTGATTGGAATCTAAACTTGAAGGCTTTAATCAGCTTTTGTGTCCTGTGCAGCCTCACTTTTCTGGTGGATGAAATCCTCAACATGGTGACATAATCTCTTTCAAAAGACTTCACTTATCTAAAATCTCAATTAACTCTTAATCTACAGACTTTTCCCTATGCACGCCACGTTAGGAGAAAGAGGCAAATCATAAGAGAAAGTTGATGAGTGTGTTTTTGGGGTATTGTAGAAGTGGTGAGAAGACCTAGATTTCAATCTTTATTAGCTATTTATTGATTGTGTAGCCTTGAGCAAATCATTTAAACACTTTGTTTCAATGCCCATGTCTCTAAAATGAGTTATAAGTTATGTGTAGATAAAATTTTAGTAATAGGATAAAACTGCTTAATAAACTAAGGTACTATATAAATCGAGGGTATTATTTGCATAAATTAATTCCAGCATCTATAATCCCTTGAAAATAAAATTAGTATCCTGAGCAAAGCCTTGGAAACAAGATAATCCAGTGAAGATTATTATGGTTAGTATATTCTAATTGTTCAGTAAAGTCCATTTGTTATGTATTTTAGAAATGTTTTCAAGAATAAGCATCTAAAGGTAAGATATCTGCTGACTATTTTATTCATTAGATCATCCTATTAACCTGAATGTATAATTCCCTAAGTATTTCCGTTTCTAAAAGTTCAAATGTCCAATGAGTGTTTATATGGGAAGCCTGTCATATAGTATACTATTGTACATCTACACAAAGATTTTGCTAAATGTTCAAAATTACCTAGAAGAAAAATACTTGAATATTAAATATTTTTTTTAGAAAGCAAGTGAAAAGTCTTTTTAGTCTGGCCTCTTAAAATACTGAAACATTTTTTCAAAGTTTAAGAAGTGAATAATATGATAGTTATGTGATTCTCTTTTAGCAAGTCAGGATCATTTTATTTATTTTTTATATTTTTTTATATTTATTTATTTGACAGAGAGAGATACAGCGAGAGAGAGAACACAAGCAGGGGGAGTGGGAGAGGGAGAAGCAGGCTTCCCGCGGAGCAGGGAGCCCAATGAGGGGCTCGATCCCAGGACTCTGGGATCATGACCTGAGCCGAAGGCAGATGCTTAACGACTGAGCCACCCAGGTGCCCCAAGTCAGGATCGTTTTAAACAAGTCATCTTCTGGCTTATGTATTCCAGAATATGTGTCATATGCTATATTTATAATTGTATTAATCTTCATTTACTTTGTTAAAAACTAGTATGTAGGTTTTTTCAGATTTCTTTTTATCCATTATTAGTACTTTTAAGCAGAAAGGAGTGCATGTATATTGAATTGAAGTAAAATTTCAAAATAAGGTGACATTTTGGTAATGTTTAGTTTAATTTTTTAAAATTTCAGTGTTTTTGAAGAAACTGACACAGATTTACAAGAACTTCAGGCCTCTATGGAACAGTTACTTAGGGAACAACCTGGAGAAGAATACAGTGAGGAGGAAGAATCAGTCTTAAAGAACAGTGACATAGAACAGACTGCAAATGGGACAGATCTGGCAGATGAGGATGACAATCCCAGCAGTGAAAGTGCCCTAAATGAAGAATGGCATTCAGGTATGTTGTCATGATCGTGGGACTTTTTTTTTTTCCAATGTATACAGATATTTCAAGTAGAGTATATTTTTCTGATACCTGATATGAACAGTTTCCAAATTTAAATAAAACTGAAGTATGCTTCTGTGTCTCTTTTATTTATTCTTTTTCTTTTCACACAAATGCCCATATACATTTGTTCCATTTCTTTCCCATTAAATTTTGGAAATGCTTTTGAAGCATTTTTATTGCTTTCTTATCTTTCTTGACTTATTTTTCTAGTACTAAAGATAACAGCCTAGTTTTCTTTTTCTTTCTTTTTAAATAAAGATTTTATTTATTTATTGACAGAGACACAGCGAGAGAGGGAACACAAGCAGGGGGAGTTGGAGAGGGAGAAGCAGGCTTCCTGCCAAGCAGGGAGCCCAGTGCAGGGCTCAATCCCAGGACCCTGGGACCATGACCTAAGCCAAAGGCAGATGCCCAACGACTGAGCCACCCAGGTGCCCCAACAGCCTAGTTTTCTTAGCACTTTATATTATACAGAGGGCTTCCACATACAGTGGTTAACCAGCAGGTTTAATGTTAAAAGCAGTTTTTAAAACCTTGACTTTTTTTTTTAAACTGTTCTTTGTTCATAGCATTACCCCTAAGATGCATAGAAAATATGTGTATTTTGAGAACTATATAATGTTTATTTGGGAAGAAGAGCTAATGTGAAAAGGAACAATTCTTCAGTAACTTTGTCTTTTACTAGAATGTATCCCAGTGTCTTGGACATATACATGACATAAAACATATATAGCATTTATAATACTTTCTAAATGCTCTACTAAATTTTTATTATATGTAGGATAAGTCATCTGCCTCCTGCATGCTTTTTCATGTTTTGGCCTATGTTTAATGTCAACTTTTTAAAAACAGGGTTGGCGCCTGGGTGGCTCAGTTGTTAAGCGTCTGCCTTCGGCTCAGGTCATGATCCCAGGGTCCTGGGCTCGAGCCCCACATCGGGCTCCCTGCTCAGCAGGAAGCCTGCTTCTCCCTCTCCCACTCCCCCTGCTTGTGTTCCCTCTCTCGCTGTGTCTCTCTCTGTCAAATAAATAAATAAAATCTTTAAAAAAATAAAAACAGGGTTGGTTTACCTGAGTGCAGAACATATGGGTATGCTTTTTTCATTTTTTACTCCATTAGAATGTTTTTCTTCTAATCTGGTTTACTGTCTATAAAAGAAAAGATTCCCAAAGTAACAGTCTTGTTAAGACATTTATATACATTGATTTCCTACATAAAAGGCAAAAATTGTAATGACCAAAACCTTATATTGAAAGTACAAGTGGTCTTTCAGTGACATCACTCATCAAAAAGAATTTTAGTCTGTTAGGGTAAGAATTATTTTATTCATTCTTTTTTTTATTTTTTAAAGATTTTATTTTTTTGTCATAAAATATCTTTTTATTTCTGTTTTTTAGATAACAGTGATGGTGAGATTACCAGTGAATGTGAATATGATAGTGTCTTTAACCATTTAGAGGAACTGAGACTTCACCTGGAGCAGGAAATAGGCTTTGAAAAATTCTTTGAGGTTTATGAGAAAATAAAAGTAAGTAAAATGTCAGTTAAAACATTTAAGTTTGGGGTACCTGCCTGGCTAAGTAGGTGGAGCATCCAGTTCTTGATCTCAGGGTCATGAGGTCAAGCCCCACCTTGGACGTGGAACCTACTTTAAAAAAAAAAAATTTAATTTTGAAATATGCTCTTTTTGTTTTTGTTTTTCTTTGTTGTTTTTTTTTTATATTTATTTGAGAGAGAGAGCATGAGCAGGAGTGGCAGAGGGAGAGGGAGAAGCAGGCTGCCCGCTGAGCAGGGAGCCTGATGCGGGACTTGATCCCAGTGGGGTCACGAACTGAGCCGAAGGCAGACGCTTAACCGACTGAGCCACCCAGGTGCCCAAAATATGCTCTTTTTGAATTACTAGTGAAATGTCAGTGATTTTTATAGGGCAGTAGATTTATTATAAATAATAAGTCTCTAGAGAAAGTTAATATTCATATATTAATTTATATTTGGAAATTTGGTATAGGCTATTCATGAAGATGAAGATGAAAATATCGAGATTTGTTCAACAATAGTTCAGGATATTTTAGGAAATGAACATGAACATCTTTATGCCAAGATTCTTCATTTAGTCATGGCAGATGGAGCCTATCAAGAAGGTAAGATTTCCTCAGTCTTTATATTTTAAGTAAATGTGCAAAAAACAGGATGACAGATGTAAATTGCTGAGCTTTTTATCCATGCGTTTTGGTGAGATCTATATTGGAATCATACCCCAGTACTAATAGCAATTATAAAATTAACCATGTCATAAACTTTTACTGATTCTATCATTTTTTTTGACTTAAGTCCTTTAAGTTCATATTTTTACTTAATTTATAAGTAACACTTGAATGAGATTTTCTTGAAAGACTCCTATTGGACAGCTCTAGAAATCAGAATACTTTCTTGTCAAGGATGTAGAAGTAAACTTTTAGACATACATGCTTCAGCAATATGTACAGTTTCTCCTAAGTAATTCCAAATGTAGTCTCTTCCGTTCACAGTAGATGGAATTCATTTATAGTGATTTGAATGTAAACCATTTTTCTATTTGGAAAATATTTACCTATAGAATCACTTAAAATATATTAGAACTTTACTGAAAATTATTAAAGTTAAAAATGGTGTTTCCCCTTAAATTTAGTCAAGAGCACTAAACATGGTACCAGACCGGTGGTATAGTCCTGACTCTGACAAGCTAATAATGTGACATTAAGTGATTTATTTTAAGTTTCAGTTTCCACTGCTATAGAAGTTTGGTTACCATTTTAATGCACCATGAATTGTTTTCAAAGTACTTATCACGTGCTTCTTATAGCCTTATACTTTATTACTATGGACATTAAAAAACAGTCTTTGCTTACATGTTGAATTTGGAAGATGAGATATAAGTATATGAAAGTGTAAAACTATATATAAAATGCATATTCTAAAATACTTTTCAGTGCAGTAGGAATTGGAGAAGGGAAGCTTGGATTATAAAAAATGGAAAGAAATGTAGAGCCATAATAACGTGTCAGAAAACAGTGAAAATTAATGTGTATTAGAGTTAATATTGGAAGCTTCTTATAGGAAATAGTCTCATTGTATGGAAGTGTTGAATCACTGTATTGTGCACCTGAAACTAATACTACACTGTTAACTGACTGGAATTTAAATAAAAAAAGAAAATTAGTTTTTGTGATTAGATACTGTGAAGTGTTTAAAATACATAGAGGAAATCACTGAAGGTTTGTGAACTGAAAGAACTGATGGAGTGAAGGAGATGTTTTATAAAGTTCAGCCTCGTAGTAGTATTCTCGATAACTTGGAGAGTCCTAAGATTGCAAATTAAGATCTGTTTTGAAGCTGTAGATGCCTTTGGGCACAAGATGGTGAATACCTGGATTTAGTGTTCGTATGAGTGGAGCGTTAATATTCAGTTCACATATTTCAGAGCCAGGCTTTTAATAAAAATATTTGATATTTTGACTCATGAAAAATCAAGTTTCCTAAAATCAAATTCAAGAATGTCTTTTATTTTGGGAGCAACTTCACTTAGTTAAGTTATAGACTTATTTATATTGACCATAAAGCTCAGCCCCCCCCAAAAAATGTTTTTGAATTGGTTAAATGTAAGTAAAAATCTTCTAAAAACTCTAATAGTTATTGTTAAGTCAAAACTAGAAAATCTTCAGGTACAGTGAGTACTACACTGCATCTTCATTACTATTCTTACCTTAACAAAATAACTGTCAAGAAAATGTTAGGGTCATTAGCAACAAGTAATGGATTGAATATATGCCAGTAATTAATGCTGCATATGTTCTTAATTATGGTTTTCTTTAGCCTGCTTAATAATTAAGATGATCACAAATAGGCAAAAACAGAATAATGTTTCATATGTATGGTAGTGCAATGAAACCTATCAAAAGAAACAGGGGCGCCTGGGTGGCTCAGTTGGTTAAGCGTCTGCCTTCAGCTCAGGTCATGATCCCAGGCTCCTGGGATCGAGCCCCACCTTGGGCTCCCTGCTCACCAGGGAGCCTGCTTCTCCCTCTGCCTCTGCCTGCCACTCCCCCAGCTTGTGCTCTCTCTCTCTCTGACAAATAAATAAATAAAATCTTTAAAAAAAAAAAAAGAAACTTAAAGGAGCACCTTTCTTTTCTTTCTAATTTTTTTATTTGACTAAAGTTGACACACAATGTTCTATTAGTTTCAGTTGTACAACATAGCGACTTGACAAGTTTTACTTTATGCTGTGCTCACCGCAAGTATAGGTACCGCCTGTCACCAAACAATACTATTACAATATCATTAATTATATTTCTTATACTATGCCTTTTCTTCCCATGATTTGTTCATTCCATAACTGGAAGCCTGTATCCCCCACTCCTCTTCACCCATTTTGCCAGTCCTCTCAACCCCCTCTCTGGCAACCATCAGTTTTTTCTCTGTATTTGTAAGTCTGATTCTGCTTTTTGTTTCTTTATTCTTTTTATTTTATTTTATCTTAGATTCTACATATGAGTGAAATCATATGGTATTCCTCTTTCTCAGTCTGACTTATTTTACTTAGCAAAATACCTCTGGATCCATTTATGTTGTCACACAGGACACACTCTCATCCTTTTTTATGTCTGTATGATATTCCAATGCATGTGTGTATGTGTGTGTGCATGCACACATATACAACATCATATCCATTCATATGTTGATGAACACTTAGGTTGCTTCCATATCTTGATTACTGTTAATAATGCTGCAGTAAACATAGGAGTGCATATATCTTTTCGAATTCGTGTTTTCATTTTCTTTGGGTAAATACCCAGTAGTGGAATTGTTGGAATAAATGGTATTTCTATTTGTAACTTTTTGAGGAGCTTCCATTACTGTTTTCCACTATGGCTATACCAGTTTACTTTCTACCAACAGTGTGCGAGGGTTCCTTTTTCTCCATATCCTCACCAACACTTGTTATTTCTTATCTTTTTGATATTAGCCATTCTGACATATGTGAGGTAATATCCCATTGTGGATTTGCATTTCTCTGATGATTAATGATATTGAGCATCTTTTCATGTGCCTGTTAGCTATCTATATGTCTTCTTTGGAAAAATGTCTATTTATATTCTCTGCCCATTTTTTAATCAGATCGTTTTTTTTTTTGGCGTGGGTTGTATAACTTGTTTATATATTTTGGGTATTAAACCCTTACCAGATATATCATTTGCAAATATCCTCTCCCATTCAATAGGTTGCCTTTTTGTTTTGTTGATGGTGTCCTTTACTGTGCAAAAGCTCTTTATTTTGATGGAGTCCCAATGGTTTGTTTTTGCTTTCGTTTCCCTTGTCTGAAGGGACATATCTAGAAAAATGTTACTATGGTTGATGTCAGAGAAATTATTGTGTTTTCTTTGAGGATTTTTATGGATTCCAGTCTCTCATTAGGGTCTTTAATTTATTTTTGTGTATAGTGTTAGGACATGGTCCAGTTTCATTCTTTTACACGTAGCTGTCCAATTTTCCCACTAGCATTTATTGAAGAGACTGTCTATTCCCCATTGTATATTCTTGTCTCCATTGTCATAAGATTAATATAATTAAATATAATTAAAGGTTTATCTCTCTATTTTCTTCCATTGATTTATATGTCTATTTTTGTACTAGTACCATACGGTTTTGATTACTACAGCTTTGTAGTATATCTTGAAATCTGGAATTATGATACCTTCAGCTTTGTTTTTCTTAAGATTGCTTTGGCTATTTGGGTTCTTTTGTTTTTGCGTACAAATTTGAGTATTCCAGTTTTATGAAAAATACTGTTGGTATTTTGATAAGGATTGCCCTGAATCTGTAGATTGCTTTGGGTAATACATTTTGGCAATATTAATTCTAATCCATGAACATGGAGTATCTTTCCATTTGTTTGTGTCATCTTCAGTTTCTTTCATCAGTGTTTTATAGTTTTCATAGTACAGGTCTTTCACCTCTTTGGTTTATTCCTAGGTATTTTATTCTTTTTGGTGCAATTGTAAATGGGGTTGTTTTCCTAAATTCTCTTTCTTCTACATCATTATTAGTGTATAGAAATGCTACTGATTTCTGGGTATTAATTTTGTATCCCAAGACTTTACTGAATTATTTATTTTGTCTAGTAGTTTTTGGTGGGGCCTTCAGGATTTTCTTTGTATACTATCATGTCATCTGCAAATACTGACAGTTTAACTTCATTACCAATATGGATGCCTCTTATTTCTTTTTATCATCTGAGTGTTGTGGCTAGAACTTCGTGTTATGTTGAATAATAGTGGCAAGAGTGGACATAACTTGTCTTGTTCCTAATATTAAAGGAAAAGTTCTCATTTTTTCACCATTGAGTATGTTAGCTCTGGGACTTTTCATATATGGTCTTTATTATGTTGAGGTATGTTCCCTCTAAACCTATTTGGTGAAGAGTTTTTATCATGAAGGGATACTGAATTTTATAAAATGGTTTCTCTGCATCTATTGATGATCATGTGATTTTTATCCTTTGTTTTGTTAATGTAGTATGTCACATTGATTGATTTGTGAATATTGAACTGTCCTTGCGTCCTTGGAATAAATCCCACTTGATCATGGTGATCCTTTGAATGTATTGAATGCAGCTGGCCGAGAATTTTTGCATGTTCATCAGGGATATTGGCCTGTAGTTTTTTTCTTTTTGTGGTATCTTTGTCTAGTTTTGGTGTGAGGGTAAGGCTAGCCTCGCAGGATGTATTTGGAACCTTTCCTTCTTATTATTTTGGAATAGTTTGAGGAGAATAGGTATTAATTCTTTAAATGTTTGGTAGAATTCACCTGTGATTCCATCTGGTTCTGGACTTTTATTTTTTGATTATCAATTCAATTTATTTACCAGTAATCTGTTCAGATTATCTGTTTCTTCCTTACTCAGTTTTGGAAGATTGTATGTTTCTAGGAATATATCCATTTCTTCTAGTTGTCCAATTTGTTAGCATATAATTTTTCATAACATTCTCTTATAATCCTTTGTATTTCTGTGTTGTCAGTTGTTACTTCTCTCATTTTTCTCTCTTTCCTTGATGAGTCTGGCTAAGGGTTTATCAATTTTGTTTATCTTCTGTTTTAAATTATTTTATTTTATTTTATTTATTTGACAGAGACACAGCGAGACAGGGAGCACAAGCAGGGGGAGTGGAGGAGGGAGAAGCAGGCTTCCTGCGGAGCAGGGAGCCCGATGTGGGGCTCAATCCCAGGACCCTGGGATCATGACCTGAGCCGAAGGCAGTCGCTTAACGACTGAGCCACCCAGGCTCCCAATTTTGTTTATCTTTTTAAAGAACCAGCTCTTGCTTTCATTGATTTTTTTCCTATTGTCTTTTTAGTCTTTGTCTCATTTATTTCTGCTCTAAATTTATTATCTTCCTTCCTTTTACTCAGCTTGGGCTTTGTCCTTTTTCTGGTTCCTTTAGGTAGAAGGTTAGATTGTTTCTTTAAGCTTTTTCTTGTTTCTTGACATAGGCCTCTGTCGCTTTATTTCCCTGTTAGAACTGCTTTTGCTGCATCCCAGAGATTTTGGACCATTGTGTTTTCATTTTCATTTGTTTGCATGTATTTTTTGGTTTCTTCTTTGTTTCATTAACCCATTGGTTGTTTAGTATAATGTTGTTTAGTCTCCATGTGTTTGTTTTTTTCCA